TGTACTTGTAAAACCCCGAAATTTCTATAATGAATATATGTGAATTATTAATAGTGAATAATTCTCTTATGATAAATAATCATATATATACATATATATATCAGACGAATGTGATTATCTGTGTTTGAGAACCCATCAAGTGATTCTATGTGAGAGAAACCGAGTCATATGTCCAGCATGTCAATTTTTCGAGCAGCATGCTTTCTTTGGGCTGCGCGGTTGACCGCGGCGGTCGACTGTGGCGGTCGACCGCATCGGTCGACCGCACAGCGGTCAGAGAGTTTTCTCAGGTTCGGGTTCAAATGGGTTTCGGGTCGGGTTTGTGAGTTGGTATATAGGCTAATGTACCGGAGAGAGCCCCTCTTGGATCTGAAATCAGAAACCCTAGCCCCCTCTTCCCCCTCAAACCCTAGATTTTCATTTTTGGTGATTTTGGAGGATTTGCAAAGGGTTTTCAGCGGGATTTGTCGGATTGCAGCGAAGGGGATCAATCTCCTGCAAATCTAGGAGCTTGTGTCTCACCGGAGGCGAGTAACATCTCGCCCAACTTCACCCCTTTCTATTCTCATGCTTAAATTTGAGTTTTTACTTGGTTTTATGGGCCAAAAATTGTATTTTTGCAGATACAATAGATCCCTTATGGCACATGATATAAAAAGCAAATGTTTTCAGTTTTAAAAGTTCACCAATGAACTCTATTATAGAGATCTAGATAAAAGTTCACCAATGAACTCTATTATAGAGATCTAGATCTGAATATGTTTTAAAAGGAGAAAATTTCTATTTTTATTGTTTTAACTATACTATAGAGATCTAGATCTGAATATGTTTTAAAAGGAGAAAATTTCTATTTTTATTGTTTTAACTATACATGGATCATGTTTTAATATGTTTGGGGATCTTGGTAATGATTTTCTAAAGGTGTAAACTTTCATTTCTATCTGTTATATGACATTTTAAGATTGCCATGTTGCTGTTAACTCAAAGAAATAGAAGTTTTACAGGTTTCGAAGCTGACAGAAACCAGATCTGGGCTTCTGTCTGCCTCGCGGTCGGCTGCATCGGTCGACCGCTGGGCGGGCAGCAAGGGTAGAACACGTCTGCCCTCTGCGCGGTCGACCGCGGTAGTCGACCACGATGTCTTGGTGGTCGACCGCACCGGTCGACCATGAGCATATACGCTGAACAGTGAAGTTCATCTCTGTGTGCGGTCGACCGGACCGGTCGACCATGAGCATATACGCTGAACAGTGAAGTTCATCTCTGTGTGCGGTCGACCGGTGCGGTCGACCGCCGCACAGTATTATGCACAGTTGGTTTTTGCTGAGTGTTTCATGTGTTCGAGGGATTTCCTCGACTATCTGATACTAGTGTTCTCTGTTGCCATGAATCTAAGCATGATAGCTGACCTGAGGGCACCAAATTTAGAATTTATACGTCGGGACGCGTGTGAAATTGGTATAAGTATATTTCTTCATACATCTCATTGATGGTTACTATTTGATCCATGTGTTGGGGAAACTATGTCATTTCAGTCCTCGTGTTGAACTATAATCCATTAAAGTCCTCGTGTTGGACTATAATCCATTTCAGTCCTCGTGTTGGACATTTACCTATTTGACCATGTGTTGACCATTCGTTAAGCTATGAGTGCGACACTTATCTGAGTCAGGACACGACACTTATGTAAATTTTTGACCTTTGACACTTATTCGGTTATGACATAACACAGTGTTTAAATTCTGAGATGGGTTGCTTTCCTCTTTATTATTGTTTCTGTATTAGACTTTGGGTTTTGTATTTAGGGATTTACAATTTGAGATATAAGGTATATACATGAGGGTTTCCTTGTTTGGATTATTTCGCTCGACGTACCTATGCTCGTGTTGTAAATTTCTAAATACTAAAACTTCTTTTTAGTTAAGAGTTATGAATTTGAGACTTATTATGTATTAACTGTATTTTCTTATACAACGAGCCCTTTTCCCTTGGGGTTGGTTGTGATGTTGTTCGCTAGCGCTTTGACGCTCGTTGTCCCTCCCCATTTCAAGTAACGAGCCAGGAGCCCGGAGAGTCGCAAGTTGATGGCGACACACTTTAGTACCCAGTTGCTTATTTTTAGTTATGTTTTATTTGGAGCTCCACTTTAGATTTTTTTGTTAGTCATTTGAGGACTATATTCTAGAGGTTGTAAAGGCGGTGTGCCTTATTTTCCTTTGCTCAGACTTTCTATATTTGATTATTGTGAGAAACTCCAGTTTATTCATTCAGACACTGACTGTGTATTTCTATTTGTGGGATGATGAGATATTGATGTGGTCACTATCATTTCCTCAGTTATTCCTTGTATTATCTTCTACTTGCTTTTGTACCTGCACCTGTTGTTGACTCTACTAGATAGATGTTAATTGTGATGGTGAAACATGTTATTGCACGGTGTGGTGCAAGGCAGGTTTGACATTCTTGGTTTTACCTTGGACTGCAGCCTTGTGTGAACCCAGGGGCGTCACAGTACTACTATTGGAGATTTTTCTTTCGTTTAGGGACCGGCAAGCATTTCATCATTCCTTCTGATGGTCGCATAGGGAAGACCCTTAATGGTTATGTTATTTGGTATCAAGAGGGATATCATAACTTCTTTGCTGAAGAAGTAAATATGTTATATACCCTTTGCCCTGAGCAAAATAAGGTATAATTAAATTTTAAATTAATACTTTTGATATATGTCAAAGCTCACTATATTTTTTTTAGTCATCATCATCATCGGAGGATTCAGCAGAGTCTACCCAAATCGTCAAGCGAAAATGCTCTTTTGTTGACGATCCTAAGAAAAAGCAACGAATTTCTTCTGATCTAGTATTGAAAGCTACTTCCATTTCACCAGTGAGAAATAAAAGTGTATGTGCTAGTGACATGATTGCAAATTTAGAAGGTGCTGATGATCGCACTTTACCCGCTTCAGTTGAAATTCAAAGGTCTCCATCACTACACAAGGTACTTGTATTTTTGTGATAGTTTGTACATATGACTTTTTTTTTAATATGTACTCATAAGGATTTCTTATAGGTATATGATAAAAATACATCATCTGCCAAGAACCTTGATAATTTTAAAGATTATAGGGAACCTGCTTCTTCTGGTAACTCTTCTGATGAAGATGAGACTCGACCTAGAACAAATGATAACCTTTCAAGCCATGAAGATATATCGAAACAAAATACTTCAATACAACAGGACCAAATTATTGTTGTTCCCCAAATGAACAGCGAGGCGAGTGGAAGTTTTAGTTCAGTTGAGCAAGCAATTCAAGTCTTTTTTGAAGAATGCAAAGATCAAGTTCTATGTAATGTATCTTCATCTGCTAAAGTTCAGCCTTTCATGCCTGGGATTTATCATATTAAGAGCAAAGATGAGATCTTAGAATTACAATGTCAAGACTGTTCTATTCTTGTCCCCTTGAGGAAGGTTGATAAAAAGCAATTTGATGAGGCCCCTCCAACACCCATAATTGATGATAATGATGATATAAGTGATGAAGGACCGGTTGACCCTACTGTGAGCTCGGTTGCAGATGCACTACTACCCATTTTTGTGAAAGAATTGTGTGAATAGAAACCTTTGGCCCTTTTAGAGCAAGACTTTGAAGGCTTTATCAAACTAATAGAGAACAAGATTGCATTGTGTGGAGCCCTTGGCAACTCAGTTGGTAAGTTAAGGAAAGCATTTGAGAAGATTATTGTAGTTGCCATAAAGTATCATGCGATCCAACAGGAGTTGATTTCTAAGTCTGAACATATTGACGGGGCATCTTCTCTAGAATTTTTAAAACCATTAGAAGATCCTATCTCTTATGTAGAGCAGTCATTGATTGCTCATAAAGTTGCTCTTAATCATAATCAATCATGCAAGGATGCTCATAAAGTTGCTCTTAATCATAATCAATCATGCAAGGATGATCTGAATCAAAAGATTATAAAGTGGAGAAAAAAGGTTCAGATAATCAATCATGCAAGGATGATCTGAATCAAAAGATTATAAAGTGGAGAAAAAAGGTTCAGAATCTAGAAAAAAAGATTGAGTTGGCTGAAACTGAATTGAAAGCAATTGACATAGTGGAAGTATGTTTGAAGAAGGCTTTGGACAAACAAGAAAATTTCATGCAATCACTTCATCGGGCACAACAAAGTTCTCCTAATATACAACATCTCAAGGCTGAGTACGAAGCATGTTCAACCAGTTTTAAAACTCTTCTAGCCTATATAATGTCTTTTAAGAGATGAATAATTTTTTTTAAAATAAACTTCATTTATTATATTGGAGATTTAGACATTTTATTCCATAGCAAATAGATATTTAAATATTTCGTACTTGCAATTGTTACAATCATCTCTCAAGAAAGATGAAGTCATCATTGAATACACAAGAGAAAATTTTTTTTCAATGAACTTTGATGGACAAGCTTGTATGGCATCAAACTTTCTCATAGTTTATCCTCTTAGAGTTTGGAGGCTGTTGAAGATTTTTTTCCTTCTAAAATGAGATGATGCAAGAGCATTGATTTCAATCTGTATTTTCGGCCTACACATAAGTTTGCATTTGTTTTGGCCATAACTTTGTCCAGAAGGCTCCAAATGACCTCTCGTCTGTGTCTTACAGTTTATACTCGTAAAAGTTTGGAGTGTCTTACAGTTTATACTCGTAAAAGTTTGGAGTGGTTTTGGGGGTTGATGTATAAAATATGCATGAATTTGACAAACATGGCATCTCTTAGCAAATTGCATTGCATCTCGAGCCATTGCAGGCCAGTAATATCCTAAATGTTTGAGTTGATGGTAAAGCCTTTGTCCCGATTGATGAGATCCACATACCCCAGCATGTACTTATTTCAAAGCATTCATAGCTTCGTTTTCAGATAAACATCGAAGAAGCATACCATCAAAAGATCGCCTAAAGAGGATCCCCTCATTGCAAGTATAATGTATAGCACGCTTCTTTATTTGTTATCTCTGGTGATTATCTGCAGGAACAATTACATGGTTGAGATAATCCAGTAAGGGTTTTCGCCAATCTGTTTCCTCTTCAATGTAAGCCGAAATAGCCGATGATGTTAATGTCTCTTGTGGTGACTCTTCAAGTATCGATGATAGTACCCGCCTCGTTTCAATATTTATTTGGAGGGTAGTGTTCGGAGAGATAGCCAATGAAGCCGCAAGACTTTCTAGAGCATCCGCTCTATGATTATAAGATCGGGGGACATGTTCAATTTGAATTTCTTGAAATTGATGGATTAACTCCTGGGCCTTTAGAAAATATGGGATCAATTCCTTCTTTTTGACAGCATATTTTCCATTCAGTTGATGTATAACAAGTTGTGAATCACCATAGACTACCAATGGATCAAGATGTAAGTCTAATGCTAATTCGAGACCAATGACAAGAGCCTCATACTCAGCTTCATTATTAGATGATGCTAAAGTCAATGTAAAAGAGTATGGTAGAGATTCTCCTTTAGGAGTAACAAATGCAACCTTAGCTCCTGCCCCCGTTCCTCGACTGGCTCCATCAAAATACATGACCCATGAAGGGGCTATGAAGGTAGTCATAACTTCATCGTTGGGAAGATCATCTTCAATCTCTTTTTCTCCTGGCAAAGCATGAGCAGCTAGAAAATCTGCTAAAACCTGTCCTTTAACAGCCTTTTGAGGTACATAGACAATATCAAATTGAGTCAAAAACATTGCCCATTTTGCTAAGTGACCTGATAAAACTAATTTTCCAAGAATATATCTGAGAGGATCTTCCCGAGATACCAAGTGAATAGTATGCTCTAACATATAATGTCTAAGTTTCTGGGCTGCAAAAACTAAGGCCAAACATATTTTTTCCATACCCGGATAGTTTTGTTTTGCCCCCAGCATCATACGACGCAGATAATACAAAGCAACCTCCTTTCCCTCATCATTAACTTGGGCCAATAATGCCCCCAAAGACATGGGTAATGCAGCTGTATATAATATTAGAGGTCGCCCTTTAATGGGGACTCCTAGCACAGGTGGGCATGTCAAATATTTTTTTATACTTTCAAAAGCATTTTGACATGCATCATCCCATTCAAAAGAAACGTCCTTTTTCATTAGTCTTGTAAATGGTTGACACCTGCCGGCTAAATTAGCAATGAAACGTCGAATATATGCAAGTCGCCCTTGAAGACTTTTCAGCTCATGTAGGTTTCATGGTTGTGGCATCTTAATGATAGCCTTTGTCTTTGCTGGATCAATCTCAATTCCATCTTTACGAACGACAAACCCCAAAAATTTTCCTGATGAGACACCGAATGCACATTTTGTCGGGTTCATCTTTAATTGATGTTTTCTTAAGCGTTCAAAAACCAAAGATAGATCTTGTAAATGTTCACTTCTGTGTTTTGTTTTTATCACAATGTCATCAACATAACACTCTACCTTATCATGAAGGAGATCAGTAAAAATCTCTATCATAGCACGTTGGTATGTCGCACCGGCATTTTTTAGTCCAAAAAGCATCACTTTATAACAAAAGATACCTTTTGGTGTCCTAAAAGCAGTAAACTCTTCATCTTCTGGTGCCATATGAATTTGATTGTACCCCGAATAACCATCCATGAATGATAATACTTCATAACATGTAGTAGAATCTATTAATAATTTAGAGATAGGAAGAGGAAAATCATCTTTTGGACAAGCCTTATTTAAATCACGAAAATCGATACAAACACGGCTTTGTCCATTTTTCTTTTTAACGATGACTATATTAGCCAACCATGTAGGATATTTGACTTCTCGGATAAAGTCAGCAGCAAGAAGTTTATCAATCTCAGCTATTATTTGAAGTAATATTTCTGGACGAAAACGACGCTGTTGTTGCTTAATAGGTGTAATATCACTTGAAATAGCTAAGCGATGTACTACTACATTCGGATCAAGCCCAGGCATCTCCTTGTAACTCCAAGCAAAGACGTCCTTGTTCTTGGATAAGAAATGTTTGTATTCATCCTTTTCATCCTTGCACATATGGGCACTGATAAATATGGGACGAGGGTCATCACTAGTGCCAAGATTAATTTCCTCTAACTCATCTGTTGAAGCTTGTTCTGCTTCTTCCAATTGGGATGGGGCTGGCTGTAAGTCCACAAGTTCTTGAGATGATGTCATGCATACTTCATATCCTAAACCTTTCTTCATAGATGATAGTCTTTTGCCATGGTAAAGAGCATCTCTTTATTTTGGACTGAGCATTTTGTCAAAAGGTGCAAGAGAACCTTCTCCGTTAATCAAATCTGAAATTAACTTTATATCATAACCTATTTTTTCCATCATATTAAGGGTTTTCTGGTCATAAAAAATAGGAAGACAAGATATTGGATCTTTATAACTTATAGAAGAGGCTGGTACAAAGACCATGGATTTTTTCTTTTGACCACTAAGCTCTTTACCTTGGTTAGAATTTAAGACTTCATACTCAAGTGTTTGAAAGACAAGGTCTCCATCTTTTCTTTGTTCTCGAGGTATGTAGCGATATGTAACTTTCTTTGGATTTACTCCATCATGAGCAATTTCTTCTTTAGGGTTAACTCTATTAGCTCTGAAATTGGTTCCTTTGATCTCCTTGGCAATAACGCCCTCGAAGTAAAATTTTGCATCAGCATAGAAGGCTTCTGCAGTTGTAAAAGGTTGTGTATCTACAAATACTCTTCTAATTTCTCCCTCGGGTGTTTTATACTTGAAGCACTGATGGAAGGAAGAGGATATCACGCCGTATTCATGCAACCAAGGATGTCCTAATAATGCATTGTAAGATGTAAATGCATTAATCACATGAAAGAGAGGAGTAGAAATCCATCCTTGAAATTTCAAGGTCAAATGCATAGTCCCTAAAGCTTGTTGCCCTGTTTGATTAAATCCCTGGATGACGATGTTGCTTTTTGTAAGATTTTTTATAGTATATCCCAGCCTTGTCAATGTCCTTAAAGAGATTAAATTTACAGTAGACCCACAATCCAACAAGATTCGATTAATTGACTTATCTTCTAAATCACTAGTGACTAACAAAGGTCAATTATGAAGCTTTAAACCCAACAGAAGGTCTTCATCAGTGAATTCAATATTTAAGACTTCGAGTGGATTTATATCCACATTAGCTACTTCTACCCTATAGTCATCAGGAAATTGCATTGCAGTAACAAATGCCTTTCGCAAATCAGAAGACAAACACAAAGCATCATACACACTAAGAAGTGATGGTATTTTCTTTAGATGTACAAGTACATTGTATTTGACAGTCTCAGAAGGATTTGCCACATTTGGAGTTACATTATCAGGAGGTTGCGATTTTTCCTTGCGAGGCAATATGTAATCAACAGGAGGAGGACGGATCTCTTTTGTCTGCAATCCAGAACGAGTGGTAATATTAACCTCAGTAGTTTCTTCTGGGAAGCATAATGGTCCATCATCTCCTTCCACAACTCTAACAGTATTGCAATGTAAATCATCTGCCCAATGGGTATTATTATCCACCACTTGAGGCTTATTAATGCAAAGTTCATGAGAAATCCTTGCAATGAATCCCTCAATTTCCTCCTTTGGCATCACTTTACGAAGTATTTTGTATTTAGGAGTTCTTTTCCTTTTAGAAAGAGGAGGTCGAGCTGCCTCCGTTGGTGTAGGGTTGTTCCTCGCAGCTTTAACCCTTTCTTTGAAATCCTATCTCCCTTTTTGTTTCTTGCTGACGTAAGGCCTGCCTTGATTGGTATAGAGTTGTTCAGGTTCTGACATTGAATCATCATCATCTGTTGTAGGCAACAGGATTTCTGGTAAGGCTGAGTCTTGCCTTGGTATTAAAACCGGCATTGCCCTACTAGATTCTGTATCCTCAACAAACAGACGCTTCTTTATGTGAGATGGTGGAGATTGTTTTACATTGCATGTGAGGATAGGAAATGGTGTTGGAGTCCTACTTTTCCTCTCCATTATAGTCGGTGGAGTTGAAGGGGACCATAATTCTTTGATATGGATTACATGACGTAGCACCTTTGAGGGAGTCACTGGTAATGATGAATCTTCCATAGGGCGATATGATGGTGGTACATAAGGCACCGCATATGACGATAATGTTAAAGTGTCTATGCACTTAGGTAACGCCTTTTCATCTACTTGACTAATAGACACCATATTGGCGGATTGTCCTCCTTTCTTAAAATTTTTAAGCAATGCAGGATCAATGGTTCCATCATTAATCATTTCTTGAACTTTATCTTTAAAAACAAAACATTCTTCTAAGGTGTGTCCTGGCATGCAATGATACTTACAATATCATCCATCATCGTGCCTCTTATTATTTTCATTGATGAGGTTCAAGCAATTGTACCAGCTTCATCTCGGTTAATCCCTTAAAGAAATCCTCAACCACTTCTTTGGGAAAGGAATACTCCCTTTCAAGTCTATCTTTCAAACTTTTTTGCTTCCCAACACCATTAAACTTTACATTCTTCGACTGGACATTGGTCTCATTTGGTCGAACTTTTGTATATTGTGTTTCCACAGATGTCTCCATCACATGTTTATTCTTATCACAGTACGATCTCTCTTTCCTTTGTCTAGCCCATGTTCAAAAAATTTATGGTGCCCTTTGTCTGAGCGACGATTCAACTGATTGAGATAATTTTCTATATCAGTTGACTTAGATGCCAACTCTTCAAAAGTCATAGGCCGTACACCTTGAAGATGAACTACCATTTCTGGTCGAAGATTGTTCATGCACATCCTTATAGCCTCTGGTTCTGTGATTGGCTGAGGACAATGAAGACTCAAATTTCTCCATCTGTTAATAAAATCAGATGCCCTCTCATTATGGGCTTGTTCTGTCTGAGTTAATTCAGTGATACCCACAATCCTTTGAGTGTTATAGAAGCGTTGTAAGAAGGCTTCTTGCATCTGCTCTCAATTTCTTATTGATCCAGGCAGAAGTTTACTATACCAAGTGAATGCAGGACCTGAAAGTGTTTGAACAAACTGTCTTAATAAGAGAGCACCATTATGAGCAGTATCTTGACATGCTACTAGAAAGTGAGCGATGTGCTCATGTGGCGAACCATTTCCATTGAATTTGGAAAATTGAGGTTGTTGATAATTTCTAGGGAAGGGAATCATGTCAATCTCAGCAGGATAAGGCTTTGTATAGCCCGGTCTCATTGCATACTGATTTTGTATTAACTGTGCCCTGACCCCTTCGGTGATGAGCCTTTGTACTGTATCAAGTGAAACTGCAGTTGGGTGATGTTGAATATCTGAAGTATTATTTGTTAAAGTGGAAGGATTCGCAAAGGTTTGTGCTCTAAGTTGAGCAATTTCTTCTTCTTTCTGTTGGAGCTCTCTTTGAAGTTGTATCAATTTATCATCAAGGGACATTTCATCAGTTGTCAAAACTTGTTCTGTGCCTAATAAATTAGGTTCATATTCTTTTTCTACACTACCAATGGTATCATTAGAGTGAGAAGAGAATAAGAAGAAGCGGATGATTCATTATCATTATTTTCAACTTCAAGAGATACAGATTGTGACCTAGACTGACTTCTCGTCATAGGTCGATGTTTCGATACAATAGTACGTCTCCTTTTAAAATACATATCTTCCTCATCAGTCACACTAACAGGCATGACATTCATGACATGACAAGGGAGAGGTTTATTCAAATCAGGCACCGTGTTGATTTCACATAAGTGCTCACGTAACCAACAAACTCGCCTTCTATCTTTAGAGGAAAGATCATGACCTACCCTATCTTGTAAAAGCAGTCGATACTCCTTAGTCGTCAATCAAACTTAACAATCGAAGAAGTCAGTACGGCGAGACAGTGTTTACTGTCTCGCTGGGCGAGACAGCGTTTGCTGTCTCGACCCGCGAGACAGTAAATTTGCTGTCTCGCTCAGCGAGACAGTAAATGCTGTCTCGGAAAATGGCAGTTTCTCGCTGTAACTGTTCTCTCACGTTTCAAACTCCGTTATTTTGGCAGTTATCCACGTGATTTTCGCCCATGATGTTTCCCACGTCCCTTGGCAGTTAATGGACACGTGTAGCGCAGTTACAAATGTAGTTTTGAC